AATATTTCACGACTACTAAAAATCTAAAGATAATAAATACATTTATACGTCAAATTATTAATAAAACTCAATACAAATTAAAAATAAGAAAAAATCGTATTCATAAAAAAAACTTAACAAACCTCATCTGTAATGAATTCATGACTAAAGTCTACTAATATTGCAGTATTTGCGTTGTTGCAATGAGTTTAAGTATAATCTTTTCAGGCAAAAAAAATAAAAAAAATAAAAAAATGAAACTGAAAATACATGGTAATGAGAAGCCAAACAAATTAAAAAAAAAAAAAAAATACTTTGGGGTTACTAGAAATATATCTTTTATTCGGTAGTTGGTTACCAGACTTATATATTTTGTTCGGAAATGTGATGCCGGACTATTTATTTTGTTCGATTTTGAACCACCGAACGAAAGTCGAACATCAGTCCAGAAAAACAAAACAAAAACATATCAAATAAATAAATAAATAACTCACAATTTCATTTTTTTTTATGGTTCTTCACCACCGTTTCTTCATCCATTGCTTTCTTTAATAATCAAAATACTATGATTCTTACTTTTTGAAAAGAAATGTGTAAGAGAAAAGAAAAATCAAGAAAGAAAAAAGAGTAGAGATTGAAGATCAAGGGATGTAAGAAGATAACAAAATATATTTAATTTTTGTGTTTTGTCTTTAAAGGTAATTTCACACCTGGAAAAATTGAGAAGGAAAAAAAAAACTCATATAGAAAATGCAAAGAGGTAAAGTAATGGTGTAAGTAGAATCACCCTAACAGAATTTGGGTTTGAATAGTTGTCACCTTTTTTTTACCCTTTTCAAGCTACAGCCTAAGCCCTGCAAGTCATGCATCTAATTTGCCTTTGTGATGTTCCTTCTGCGACAAAAATTTTATTTTGATAAGTAATTTGGCTATGAAATTAAATCTGGTTCCATTCTGGCAACCTAAATTAAGTTGTCAAATTACAAATTTTGTGCCGTAGTATAGAGTGTCTTATAATTGAGGCATGCATGGAAAATTTTGCTATTTGATTTTGAGCTAAGAAATGGGATAGAATTGACAACTTAAGAGCTTCTAACATGAAGTCTGTGTGAGGCTTAGTAGAAGGGGAAATGTTGTGGTAGTTGTTTGCTACATTGGACGTATGCTAAAATTTAATTTTAAAAAATCCTTAGGTCTATAACTAATTTTTTTTAGTAGTGTTTTAGTTTTAATAAGGATTTATTTATTTATTATTTATTAATTTTTAAATTTGATTATTATCTATTTTATTGAATATTTCATGATGGAAATTTTTTAATACAATTTTCATTGGTCTTAGAGTCTTGTTTTGGAAGTTCTTTTACGTGTTTAACATCATGCTTATATCCTAAACAACAAATGGGTATTTGGTTATGTGTTTTTCCTTTTAGAGTGGGGAAATAAGCAAATATAAAGGTTCAAATTAGGATTTTGAAGGATTGACAAATATTGAGTTGACGAGATGCTTGAGTTTTGCTCTACGTTTGTGTAGGGCATGCAGGTGTGGGTGTTGTGGGTTTGAATCTTATTGTATAGTCTCCGTTCTTTTTTATCTGTCCCATTTTCTCTTTCTATTTTATTGATTTAAAGAACCCTAGTAACGTGGTTTGTGTGAAAAGATGCACAAAATTAAAAATTAAAAAATTTGGTAAAAGTTAATGTTTGAATCTGTGCGGGTCTTCTGTTTTTGGCCATTGTGCTTGATGGTTAGGGTAGTGGGAGGAGAACGGTGTTGAAGATTTGGGTTTGTGAATGAAAACAAAAACGGCAAATTACATGCGTAGTCATTGTAATTTGTTTGTTGTGTCATTTTGGTTCTTATAATTTGAATTGATCATTAAGTAGATCAAAATTGTTAAGGTTAAAGTAAAGTATTAGAAGGTAAAATGTGATCAAATTGATATAAATGGAAAATTTTAGCGTATATTGTTGTATTTTGTTCAAATAAAATCTTGTGAATGGATAAAAGAGTAAAAATATAATTTTCACTAATAAGCTTTTATTTACATCTTACTTTTATTTCATTACACTAGCTTCTGACTTTACTCTCTACACTTTTTAATATTTCAAATCTATCCCTATTTGTAATCTCCCACCTTCTCTCTACCCTCAATAGCTTCCTATGTTTTCCAAATGTAGGGTTTTGGGGTGGTTTATAAGATTTCAAAGGTTTCAGAGTCGGCAACTAGAATTGCAAAAGATGATTGATAATTTAAATTTTGATAGATGACATGAAAGGAAGGGATTAAGAGAGGTTATGGGGGGTAATTATGGTGTCAAGGAAAGGGATGCATAGCAATGAATGAGGGTGGCAAGATGGAGTGATGGATTGGAGTTGCAGAGATGGCTTCGAGTAAGTGGCAGTGGAAACGGCAAATGAGTAAAAAAAAAAAAAATTTGATTTTAAAATTTATAGGACTTTTATCCTTAATAGTAAATTGATTTAAAGATAAAATCGCAATAATTTCTTTTAAATAACAATTATAACGGGATAAATATGGTATGTAGATGGAGGCTTCCTTCTTGCAACTTAGGCCTTGTTAGGCTTTTGGCTAATTTAATAACTTTTGGACTAAAATGGAGGGTTCTCAAACGAACCCTTAATGTAGTTTTACAAGTGTAAACTTGAAGATCAAAGGAGGGATACACGCATTTATTAAATATTTTGGAAAGATAATGTTTTGTTTCAGTTTTTAAAAATAGTTTTTTGAATTTTCAATTTGTATTTTCATATTTGTAATATTTTTTTCTAATTAATTTTTAAAAAAATTTAGATTTACTTAATCTTAATATACTTAAAAAGTAAAAAATTTATTGAATACAACAAAATACGAAAATGTATTGAATTTATATATATATATATATATATATTTTTTTTTGTCTATTTGGTGAATTTTTAATTTTTTGTTTACAAATATTATACTTTTTAAATGTATTTTTTAAAAAAAAAAATTTACTTAAAATATTAAAAATAAAAATTATAATCAATTTTTTAGAACCAAACATGGTAATATAATTATTTCATGAGTAGTAATACATGTATTTTTTTCTATTATCTACCAAGAGTATTATTAGATTCTCATTTTAAAATCAAAATATCATAACAATAATTTTTATTTTTAAAATTTCATTGTCACATCACCCGATTCTTGATATATACTGATCGATACTACTGATACCGATACGTTATCCGATACTACGATTTAAAACCATGGACGCCACATAGAGAATTGTAAGCACCAACATGGCGGTTAAGATGTCCCTAAAAAATATTCCATTGGAAATAACACATATCTAGTGATGATATTCAACAGTATAAAAGGTATAAAACGAATCTTGGAAAAAATTAAAATAAAAAAGAAGAACCAAAATATGGCAAATTCAATTCCAAAAAAAAAAATAAAATAAAATAAACAAATTAATCAAAAGTCAGCAGATCGACACCCAATATGAAAAAAAAGAAAAAGAAAATAAACACACAAAAAAAAGCCAAATCCAAACCCTCAAAAAAAAAATAGCAAAATACGTGAAATCGAAAGATAACATAAAAAAAAATTTAAAAAAATATAACAAAAAAATGCCAAATCCAAAAATAAATAAATAAATAAATTTAAACAAAAATAAAAAATTGGAAAAAAAAATACCAAAACAAAAAAACCAAATTTTTTTTCCCAACAAAAAGCCAAATTTGTATACAAAAAAAAAAAAAAAACCAAAAAAAAAAAAAAAACCCGAAAATATGCCAAATCCAAACCCAAATAAAAAAATCAAAAAAATGGAAAAGGGCAATTTCGTCATTTAACAACATGACACCCCACCAAAAAGCCAAAAAAGCCAAAAAGTCCTTCCCAAACCAGACTTTTTAGCCCCAGGCTAAAATAGCCAAAAAAGCCAAAAAGTCAACCCACTTCCAAACGGAGGCTAAATTATTTTTATATAATTTTTATCTTTTGAGTGGTTAGAAATAATTTTTTACTAATTAAATTGAAATAACCCCTACGTATGTATAATAGCAAATTTTTAATATGAACCATACGTATGCAATTTTTATAATAAAAAATAATTTGTAATTTATAATAGCAAATTTTTACCTTTACATACGTATGGTTTAAGAGTAAAAATTTTTAGGTTATGGATAGTTTGATTTATCATTTAAGTCATTTATCAAAAATTTTACCCTTAAATCATACATATCTAAGTCATTTATGAAAAGATTTTTAGGTTATGTATGGTTTGATTTTTAGAATTTTTTTAAAAAAATTAAAAATTAATTTGGTTAAGAAATAAAAAATAAAAAATAATTATCATTTAAGGGTAAAAAATAATTATCATTTTAATTTTTGGACAGGTTATATACCTACGTAGGGTTATTTCAATTTAATTTGTAAAAAATTATTTCTAACCACTCAAAAGATAAAAATTATATAAAAATAATTTATATTTACAAAAATTATATAGTTGATTATTATTTACTATTATAAATTATTATTATATATATTTAATTATTATTATATATAAAAATTATATTTTTCAATTATATTGTGTGATGGTGTATGTGTGTCAGAGTGTGCGTGAGTGCTGTGGAGGGGGTGTGTCAGAGTGTGTGGGTTGGTTTGGTGTGATTTGAAAACGCCATTTGGAAACACGATTTTGCATTTGAACAGTAGAAGCGCGATTTGTAATCACGTTTTTTGAAAAAAAAAATTTTGTAACCACGTTTTTTTTTAAAAAAAAATTTATGTTAAAACGTGATTTCAAATAACGTTTTCTTAATTAAAATCGTGATTTCGAATAACTCTTTCACTCTTCATCAAATTTTAGACTCTAAACAGTAAAAGCGCGATTTGTAATAATACTTTAACTTAATTTAAAAAATTCGTCCAAATTAGGCATAATTTGAAAAATAAGATGCAAAAAGACTTTAGTTTGGGAAAAGCCCCTAATCGGAGAGCAACCAACTTTTAAAACCGAAAAACGAGACTCCAAATCCGAAATTTCAGATCGCTGTTCGTCACTCTCTCTCTCTCTCTCTCTCTCTCTCTCTATCTCCTAGGGCACCCAATTCACACACATTGGCTCCTTTCCTCTGAGATTCTTCGTTCGTCACTGAAATCACACACTACATTTCTCTGCTTCGCAATTTCTCATGCTCGCTAATGGATTTCAACACATAATTTTTTGAAATTTTTCCTTCGATTTCCCTCGTAATTCCCTATCTCTTTCCTTGTATTTATCTGTATATAATAATGTAATTTCCTATACTAATCTATGTGGTTCTTTAATTTTCAGGGTTTTGAGAGACAGACAATGGCAATCAAGAGGGGATTATCAGGTGCGGGCATTCACAGGAACAGAGGCGGTGGATCTCGCTTCCCAATTGCCATTCTCGTCTTCTTTTCGCTGCTTGCGCCCTTGATTTTCTTTGTCGGACGAGGACTCTATACTTCGACTTCAATTGGTCGGTATACTATGTACCATATTCTCTTTCATTTCCTCAGATCTCACCCTGGGAATATTGTAATTTCGTTTAATCCCATTATTGGGACACCCAATTCTGTTAATTTGGTTGATTGAGTTTAGAGCATGAGCTTTTTATTCTTTTATTTTTTATGGTGAGTTGGTTTAACGCGTTTTTTTCTTTGCAGAATTTCTTAGAATCAATCATGAGTTTGACAAAATTTTCTACCTTTTTAATAAGAGAATGAATTATTCTACTTACATCACTATTTAACCTCTTTATACCCTTCATCTCATTACACCACTAAAAATAATAAAATGTAATTCTCATTACACCCCCAATATATTACCAAAACTAATCCTAAATTAACTATTTCATCTCTTTACACCACTAATTTTGGTAACACGGTACTAAACAATTTATATTATTCCGGTGTTATATTGCCGGAAAAAATAGATTTCTCCAACATTTTGTTGCTATACATTTCCAGACACTTTCTTCCAAATAATGATTTTTTAATTTATGATGGGCTTGTTCGGTAATACAACACTAATTAATTTGAATTGCTCCAGTGTCATGTTACCGGACAATATTATTTTTCCCAGCGTTATGTTGCCGTCCAATTAGATGATAATAAAAAGTTAATTTGGGTCACTTGTGAAGTGCATGTTCAATGATTCATTATTATACAAATAGGATTACTCTAGTGTCATGTTGCCAAATTACAATAGAGTTGTCTAGGCCCCATCGCTGTACATTAAAAGATTTACTTTTTTCTTGAAGCATCTATAAAAAAATTCATAAATCAAATAAGCATTCATAAAATCATACATAAAAAGCATCCATAAAATTATTCATAAAAACATCAAGTGTACAAATATCCATAAAGTATCCATAAAATCTATCATTGTTTGCATCCATTAATCAAACATGTTATCACAATTCGTCTTGGTAATTTGTATGTAATTTTTTTCCCTTTAATAGAAATAGACATCCACACTTTTTAGGACCTGTCAACCTCAATCATTCCCCCTTGATCTTCCTGTTGTCTCTATAGTAACCACTTCTTTTACAAGCAAGTGTAGGTCTTGGTTTTCTGCCATTGTCTCCTGCATCTGATATCTTTATAACAATGACAAATCCAGCCTTCTTTCCAACGTTAGAAGCCCATTTAATTAATATTTCACGACTACTAAAAATCTAAAGATAATAAATACATTTATACGTCAAATTATTAATAAAACTCAATACAAATTAAAAATAAGAAAAAATCGTATTCATAAAAAAAACTTAACAAACTTCATCTGTAATGAATTCATGACTAAAGTCTACTAATATTGCAGTATTTGCGTTGTTGCAATGAGTATAAGTATAATCTTTTCAGGCAAAAAAATAAAAAAATGAAACTGAAAATACATGGTAATGAGAAGCCAAACAAATTAAAAAAAAAAAAAATACTTTGGGGTTACTAGAAATATATCTTTTATTTAGTAGTTGGTTACCAGACTTATATATTTTGTTCGGAAATGTGATGCCGGACTATTTATTTTGTTCGATTTTGAACCACTGAACGAAAGTCGAATACCAGTCCAGAAAAACAAAACAAAAACATATCAAATAAATAAATAAATAACTCACAATTTCATTTTTTTGATGGTTCTTCACCACCGTTTCTTCATCCATTGCTTTCTTTAATAATCAAAATACTATGATTCTCACTTTTTGAAAAGAAATGTGTAAGAGAAAAGAAAAATCAAGAAAGAAAAAAGAGTAGGGATTGAAGATCAAGGGGTGTAAGAAGATAACAAAATATATTTAATTTTTGTGTTTTGTCTTTAAAGGTAATTTCACACCTGGAAAAAATTGGGAAGGAAAAAAAAAACCTCATATAGAGAGTGCAAAGAGGTAAAGTAATGGTGTAAGTAGAATCACCCTAAGAGAATTTGGGTTTGAATAGTTGTCACCTTTTTTTTACCCTTTTCAAGCTACAGCCTAAGCCCTGCAAGTCATGCATCTAATTTGCCTTTGTGATGTTCCTTCTGCGACGAAAATTTTATTTTGATAAGTAATTTGGCTATGAAATTAAATCTGGTTCCATTCTGGCAACCTAAATTAAGTTGTCAAATTACAAATTTTGTGCCGTAGTATAGAGTGTCTTATAATTGAGGCATGCATGGAAAATTTTGCTATTTGATTTTGAGCTAAGAAATGGGATAGAATTGACAACTTAAGAGCTTCTAACATGAAGTCTGTGTGAGGCTTAGTAGAAGGGGAAATGTTGTGGTAGTTGTTTGCTACATTGGACGTATGCTAAAATTTAATTTTAAAAAATCCTTAGGTCTATAACTAATTTTTTTTAGTAGTGTTTTAGTTTTAATAAGGATTTATTTATTTATTATTTATTAATTTTTAAATTTGATTATTATCTATTTTATTGAATATTTCATGATGGAAATTTTTTAATACAATTTTCATTGGTCTTAGAGTCTTGTTTTGGAAGTTCTTTTACGTGTTTAACATCATGCTTATATCCTAAACAACAAATGGGTATTTGGTTATGTGTTTTTCCTTTTAGAGTGGGGAAATAAGCAAATATAAAGGTTCAAATTAGGATTTTGAAGGATTGACAAATATTGAGTTGACGAGATGCTTGAGTTTTGCTCTACGTTTGTGTAGGGCATGCAGGTGTGGGTGTTGTGGGTTTGAATCTTATTGTATAGTCTCCGTTCTTTTTTTTTTTTTTTTTGGTTCTTCTTTTTTTTTTTTTTTTTTGGTTCTTCTTTTTTTTTTGTGTGATAAAGAGGCTTGGAACATTTGACTCATATTTGGTTCTTGTCTTTCTCATTTTCCTTGCTCTTTATCTGTCCCATTTTCTCTTTCTATTTTATTGATTTAAAGAACCCTAGTAACGTGGTTTGTGTGAAAAGATGCACAAAATTAAAAATTAAAAAATTTGGTAAAAGGTAATGTTTGAATCTGTGCGGGTCTTCTGTTTTTGGCCATTGTGCTTGATGGTTAGGGTAGTGGGAGGAGAACGGTGTTGAAGATTTGGAATGGATAAAGAAAGCTTGTGGAGAAGGCATCAACATAAAAATGTTGATTGTGGAAAGGATTGCTTCTCTTGAAGATTATAGACTCAATGTTTTGAAAGCAACCATTTCTGGTTTGAGGTTTTGGGGGAATTTGCTTTGTTGTTCAGAAGGGTTGGACTCGGTTGAGGATCTCTTTTGGCATGATGTTGGCATAAGGACTTTCTTTTGAAGCTTGAGTTTCTCCGACTTCTTAGAATTACTAGCAATGATGGTTCTATCAATAAAGGTTTCTCAAGGCTACGCCTAAACCACTCAACAAACATTGGTTCTTATGACTTTTGGATAAGTTATGAGCCCAATTTTGAGATCTCCTAGTGATTTATTTCCAACTATTCCTCATTTCTATGACGCGTAAAGTCACATTTTGTATCCATTTCTTCATCTTATCTACTCAATGGCCTTTAGGTTCCATAATTTCTCTTCATAGTTTTAACTAAGAGGTTGATTCCTATATATTTTTGTTAAACAAAAACTATGCTGTCAATTACAATATTTGCCATATGTGGTCTTATTACATCCTCAAGTTCGTTTAATCAATTCAGATTATATCAATTTCTATGGATGCAAAATTGGGCTTTGGTGGGTTTTAATCAAATTACTTACAGTGCACGAGATACCACATTAGGAGTGTTTGATCTTCAACATTTCTCCACATGTCAAAATTGCAATTTGGATCATATGACCCTAAATTGCCAAAATGATCCAAATCATTTTAGAATCGGTGTTATAGCAGGTTCGAAGGTAAGATCGTGTGGGATCATTGTAGGATTGTAGGTAGGATTTTGATTTTTCACCTTATTGTTAATATGCATCGTTCTTATTTGTAATTTTACATTATTTTTAATAGAAAGTAGAATCTTATGATCCGTGATCCAATCCATGAGACCCCCTTTTTGATTCTACATAGGATCCTGATTTTAACAACCACGCTCTATAGGAATCGAGTCTTAATAGTTTCTGCATGCACGTTATAGGAAGAACGGACCTAGGAGCTACCTTACTTCGATGTTCGCCATGTCACCTCGTCCTCGCATTCTGCTGAGTTATAGATGTTATACAAACTGCCATAAAACTCCCTACCTCACCAATCTCACAAGTATGTACTGGTCTCCAAAGTATTATCCCAAACCATTTTCAATTGATTCTATGCAACGTATTTTTAGGTCACATCTTTGGTTCTGATTCTCTCTGGCTTTGTTCTTGACGGAATGCAAGTTTTACTTTATATGGTGGGATCTATTTGGTCAATTGATCAATAATATTTGGTCCTTTACAGATTTGGGGTCTTTTGCAATTGTTACACGCTTTAACGTGAACTTGGTGTATATAGCCATAAGACGGCTTAACAAATTCCTTGTTCATCAGATTTTTTTTTTTTTTTTAAATAAATGAAATCATATACTTATGTTTTAGGATGCTGATGATTGAACTTGTGCTATGGTCTTCTGTGAATTTCAATTTAACTATCAGTTAATCAAAGTCTGCAAAATCCATTCAAGTACCATTTTTTTTTTTTGTTGTCTCACTTCAATTTGTTTTCTCTCTTTGTTATTGAATATCAGTTAGTGTCAAACTAATTTTTTCTTCTTCTGCAGATCAAAGTGGTTCTTTAGCTGGTTCTAGTAAAGAGGTACCCATTTTGCTGCTTATATACTTTGGATTGCAATTCCAGGTTGTTTTGTTATTCACAGTGTGGGAAACATTGAATTTACAGGATGTAGATTGGAGAGAAAAGCTGGCTTTGCAACATGTTAAATCTCTGTTCTCAAAAGAGGCAAGTTTGATTTGATGATGTAGTTAGAGGTTTATCTTGTTATTGTGCTCCAACTTTCTCATTTTGGTTAATTAGTGGTAGTTTTTCATTTTTACATTTTCCCGATTACCTGGCACACTAATTATGCACATGTTTTAGGTGTTTGATGTCATTACAGCCAACACAAATGATTTGGGACCTCTGAGTCTTGATTTTTTCAGAAAAAACAATTTGTCTGCTTCTTGGAAAGTTGTTGGGCTAGAAACTTCGGCTGAGAATAATGCCACTTCTGTTGAGGTCAGGATACTATCAGGCTTTAGTTTGATTTTGGTGCTCCTGTTTTTTCCTCACATTTTATGATGCAAAAAACTGTCTAACATACAGCTTTTGACACTGTTTTATTTTGATTGTGCTTAAAGCCGAACCAAATAGCTGCAAACATCAAACAAGAAAACCCTACAGGAAAACGTGATAATTCTTCTGGTGGTAATATCTTTCACCTGGCCTTTAGTCTTTGAACTGCTTAGCTTACATATTTATATGAATTAAATATATAAACCTTCTATTCTTGCAGATGATCACTCTCAATTTGTTGATACACCTGCAAAACTAGCACGAAGGGTAAATATCATTAATCCATACATTGTGTGTTTTCAATGGTTTTAGTTCTTTGCATAATTGAAAAACATCTTCAACCTTCTGCTTATTATCTGCATATCTGTCTGTGCCTTTCTTTTAGCTGCATTACCTTTTTTGAGTTTGTATTTTTATCTGTTTGATCTTTTCTGCAGCAATTGAGAGAGAAAAGATGGGAAAAACGTGCAGCTGACTTAGTAAAACAAGATGATGAAGTAAATGTAAAACTTGAAAATGCAGCCATTGAACGTTCCAAATCAGTTGACTCAGCAGTTCTGGGAAAATACAGTATATGGAGGAAAGAAAATGAGAATGAGAATACTGATTCAACAGTACGCTTGATGCGAGATCAAATTATTATGGCAAGGGTATATGTCAGCATTGCAAATATGAAGAAGAGCCCTGGTTTGGCCCAAGAACTACAGAGTCGGATCAAAGACAGTCAGCGTGCTTTAGGGGAAGCAACTGCAGACACTGATCTACCTCGCAGGTAGTGCAAGTATATTATCATTGTGCATGTATTGTCTTTTCATTTCATCATATTCTACATATTTATCGTTCTGGTACTTTTCATTTTATTTTAACTAAGAAATATGTTATACAGTGCACCTGAGAAAATCAAATCTATGGGCCAAGTGCTCTCAAAAGCTAGAGAGCAACTGTATGATTGCAAACTGGTCACGGGAAAGCTGAGAGCAATGCTTCAATCGGCCGATGAGCAAGTTAGGAGCTTGAAAAAGCAGAGCACATTCCTGAGCCAGCTAGCGGCAAAGACTATTCCTAATGGAATACACTGCTTATCCATGCGCTTAACCATAGATTACTATCTCCTTCCACCAGAGAAAAGAAAGTTCCCTAGAAGTGAGAATTTGGAAAATCCAAAACTTTACCATTATGCTCTCTTCTCTGACAATGTTTTGGCTGCATCAGTTGTAGTCAACTCAACCATCATGAATGCTAAGGTAGTAGACTCTGTACCAATGTGTCATGTGGGTTTCATTGTTTGATTATAAATAGCAGCGGTGACATCTCTTGAAAGAATAGGTTACATGTTAAATTATTTTGTATTAAGGAATTTGCTCTTTCAGCAGCATGACCTGTTAGCCTTGACATATTCCGGCATAGGTGGCTTGAAATATAGAGCTCTTTTTGATAATTTGATCTTGCACACAAATGAATGTTTCAATAGAGTTATCAAAAAATGCAATACCCAAGCGATTTAAGGTTTTGGAACACACATTCTGAATCATTGTACATTTTTACTCCTAACTCCACTATCCCCAGATTTTTAGTGATCCAAAGCATTCCCAAAACTGCACGCCAAAGGTTTTCTTAGAAGGAATAAAAAAATCAAGTATAATGAACTCAAATCTAGGAAGAATGGAATATTGGCAGGACAAAATTTATAAGAATGAATCATAATGCTCAGAATAATAGAGATTTTCTTTTACATGATTAATTTGTTAAAAAAGAACTATATTTTATTAGTTGTCTAATTGTTAAAAGAAAATTGCTGTAGAATAATTTTTTTTAATGTTTTTTAAGAGCTTGCTCTAGTCTATACTTATCGTACCTAAAATAAGTGGAATATCATGTTCCTATTCCCATTCCCGTTCCACTTATCCAAACGATCCATAATAACATATCAATGGAATGTAGTAGTGAAGGTCAGATGATTTGCACGGTTGACGCTTTCAAAGATAATGTTGGTGAATGTTTTTAAAATCATTTTGTTCAAAATTGCTTCTGATCATTTATATGTTTGCCATTGACATTCTTCAAGTGGGTGTCCTTTTTGGTTGATCTTTCACCATTTAATATGATCCCTGTATCTTGATACAGTGACTGAGAAATCAGTTTTGGATCTAGGGCTCACGCAGGTTTACTTATTATATTTCTTTGCTATAGCCTAAATATGCCACTTGGCTGTGTTGCAGGAGCCACAGAAACATGTATTTCATCTTGTTACTGATAAGCTGAACTTTGGAGCTATGAATATGTGGTTTCTATTGAACCCTCCCAGAAAAGCCACCATTCATGTTGAAAATGTTGATGAATTTAAGTGGCTCAACTCATCCTACTGCCCAGTTCTGAGGCAGTTAGAGTCTGCTGCCATGAAGGAGTACTATTTCAAGGCAGATCATCCCACTGCTGGCTCTTCTAATCTCAAGTACAGGAACCCAAAATATCTTTCAATGCTCAACCACCTTAGGTTTTATCTCCCTCAGGTTTATCCCAAGTTGGATAAGATTCTGTTTCTTGATGATGATATTGTTGTCCAAAAGGACTTGACAGGATTGTGGTCAGTGAATCTCCATGGAAAAGTGAACGGTGCAGTGGAAACATGTGGTGAGAGCTTTCACCGTTTCGACAAGTATCTGAACTTTTCAAATCCTCATATTGCAAGAAACTTTGATCCCAATGCATGTGGTTGGGCATATGGGATGAACATTTTTGATCTCGAGGAGTGGAAAAAGAAAGATATCACTGGCATATATCATAAGTGGCAGAATATGGTTAGTAGCTCAAAAAACTTTGCATTTATTTTGAGGCTCTGATTTTCTTGTTTGATATAAAAATGGGATGACACTGGCAAGTTTACTTTATTGGAAATCAGTCGCGTTATGTTGTTAAAGGAAATAGTGGGCATTTTATATTAATTTATTTCTTTAAATTTTTACCTCTATGTACAGTTGTTTTTCATGTGGTGATTTGGTGTCCTTTAAACTAAACTTCTTATTGCCACCCTTCAAGTTTCAATTCAAAATGCTTCATTTTTCAACATTTCTGAATTCCTTTATTTATTTACTTTTTTGTTCCTGCTCTGGTGGTTGTTTTAGAATGAAGATAGGGTACTTTGGAAACTTGGAACTTTGCCTCCGGGACTGATGACATTTTATCGGCTGACACACCCACTGGACAAGTCGTGGCATGTGCTTGGTCTCGGCTATAATCCAAGTGTTGATCGGTCAGAAATTGAGAATGCAGCTGTTATACACTACAACGGAAACATGAAACCATGGCTAGAATTGGCAATGACAAAATACCGGTCATACTGGACCAGGTATATCAAGTTTGATCATCCCTATGTTCGCAGGTGCAACCTAAGTGAGTGAAGGGGACGGTGGATTACTAAGGTACATCCAAATGCTCTGTCTCTCACCTTTCCAACTGAATAGTGACTTCAGTTCAATTTAGTTTAGGACAAGGGAGGGGTTTTACCCGTTCTGTGCTGTTTTTCCCTTATATCCTTAATTGTTTATTCTTCTGTGTAATTCAAATTTGTTCATTTTTGTCAACCCCCTCCCTCTGAAATGAACTTGTTGACCTGTAACAGCTCCCTACTGAATTTGACTCTAGTAAACCTCGTATTTGAGAAGTCGAATGCATATTTGTGTATTCTTTGAATGACGCCCTATACATTTTGTACAAGTTCAATTTGAAACAGGCCTGGAGATCTTACCAAGTCAGTCATTGGATTAGCCTTTTGATAATGTTTGGTTGTTCAGATATCACTACTAGCTGATTGTATGACATTACTACTTCAGCACAAACTTTTAGCCTGAGTATATCCTAGCAATTGGCATATGCCATTGTTATCTATTTGTCGGCAATTCTTTTATCTGAGATAAGCTGTTTCGACTGAGTTTGTACTACATTTAATTGAATTGACTTGTGCCGTGAAGCTTATTGAGGATGCTTATAGCTTTATATATATATTCAAATTTGCGCTAGAATGTTTGTTACAACTTTTGTTTATAGTTTGTGAGACCAAAATAACTTCCAAGTTAAAAAAAAAAAAAAAAAAAAAAACTGATTATCGATCAAGAAGTTGAGGGAGGGATATTCTTATTTTCTACTTTCTAATAATCAAATAAACTGCACCAAATAGGTCTATACCCAAATTACAATTAGTGACAAGCTGGCATGCACTTGTGACCGGTTGTTGCAGTTCCTTTTTCCATTAGCTGACCCATGGTTATTGAATCTGAATGACATGTTGCATGAAATACCCCATATATGATCTCTTGATTTTGGTAACCCTTCTTTGGTGCATATAAAGGACGGCTTGTTTCATTTCATCAAAATGTGCATGGCCATTGCTCAATCAGCCTGAATAGTCTTTTGATGAATAGTTGTTAAAGCAGCTGCTTAGTTCACTGATTGGATTCTCCCAATAGAAAATATACACAAGACATAAACATGCCACTTGAAGGCATGATTCCATACGCATTAGTTTGCTTCTTTATCGCCGTAACTCTATATTAGAATGGTTTCACTGGACATGCCAATTTATGTTAGTAAAAATCAACAGGTAAAACTACCACGTAAAATGTGGTAATGTCATACAATCAGCACAAAGTTTGGATCAATGAACAAAGAAATATCAACAGATAAAACTTTATCATTACAAAAAAATAACATATTAAACAATGTGGTTGAGTTCTATGTCTTGAAAATGTCAAGGACTTCTTTGGAGGAAATTGAGTGAGAGAAACAAATTGAAATTGAAAATTAAAACATTGAATCAAAAACAAGAACCAAGTAATTGATTACAGAATTACTGAATTAGTGAGACTACTCCTAATGAGAATAACTACTCTTAAAGAAGAAATCTACTCTTAATTGAACTAATCTAGGTAGAGTTGATTTGTTGTGTTGTTTTTTATGCATGTCTCCTCTTTGCCAATTTATAGGCAAAAACCCACAGCTTAAAAACTTTCCTTGGTAGCTTTTCTTCTCCTCATGCACATTGCCACGTAAAAGGTGGAAATTGCCTGAAGTGCTTGCTGGACGTGGTGCCACCTTTGATGGCTATAAAGTGGGCAACTAACTTGCAAGAGGCATATTGTTGTCATGTATCCTGCAAAATATAAATAATAATGATAATATTATTATTCTTGCCATAATCACTTAAAAAAGATGATTTATGGCTTGAATCGATAGACTATAATTGGCAGGTGACAATCAATTAAACTAGATTTGATCTCGATTACAATTTACCGAAAAGTAATTTATGGTGTCAAGTGGTTTAGGAAATGTTTATGTATAGTTGAGTGACGCCTTAACAAGCCTCAATTCTATTTATTTGTGGTTTCTTGCTTTTTCTTCTTTTCCACAGTGATACAAATGAGTTAATTATTACCCATTTTGGACAAGCAAAGGCAGAAGATTCTGTATTTGAATTCCTTTTCTCCTGTATTAAGACTTCTCTCCATCGTACGATTAGATTAAAGAAATTCATCGTATGGTAGAGACGTGACTTAACAAAGAGAAGGATTCGGCTTAATAATTTGGCCTCTTTTGATCACCATGTCAAGCTTTAAATGGGAAACTCTGAAAATTCCCCTCATACAATTTGCGTGAACTGAAAGTAAAATAAATAGTTTAAGGGAGTGTTTGGAGGCTAAAAAATTCTGGGAAGCTTTGGATATCCCTACTCCTGTTCTAGCCTTATTCTCAGATAATCTAGCCATTTGGGCTAATTCCAATTGTTCTTCCTACTGCCATCACTCTTCTCTTGCTGGAAAAACAGGAATACTCGCATTTTCGACCCAACCACCCTTCTTTACTCAATCCCTCAAGGGCTGTAGCTCAGACCATGGAATGGCAATTTTATTCCAATCACTGTCCTAAAAAGAGTCAGCCAACACCCATAATTGTTAAGTGGACACCCCCCAAAATGGGATGGATCCTTCAAGCTTAATACGGGTGGCGCATCTAATATTGTGTTTGGTTTAAAGATTTGTGAATGGATTTAAAAAGAAAAAGGAAAAAGGTACAGGAAATGTAAATAAAATATACTTACATTTCACTCAATTTTATGCATTTCTTTTTCTTTTTCTTTTTAAATCTTTTTACAAATTCTCCAACCAATTACAGCGTAATGAAAATTTGGGCCGAGCCTTTGCCGGTGGACTGATTCGTGTTTTTACTAGAAGCAGGTGTTTCCTTCAGCATCATGGCTGAATTCTGGGCCATCCGAGATGGGCTCAAGCTTGCGCTTGACAACAACGTAATGAACTTGGATGTGGAAACTGATGTAATATGCAGTGCTCTATAAGCAGCTCATATTTTGGACCCTCCAAGAAAATCACCACCTCGCAAATTTTATAAATAAATGGAACTTACTGGTATGATGTCAAATTTCATTTTATCCTTCAAAATTATAATTTAAAAATTAATTAGCCCCACAAATATAAAAAAAAAAATTTAAATTTAAATATTTAATAAATAATTTTTATCTCAATAATAAAAAAAATTAAATTATAAATAATGTACTTTGAAAAAAATAATAAAAAATATAAAAATCGTCATTTAGAATTATCTCTTTAAGTCTCAAATTATCTTGAGTTGATCTTGGAAAAATTAATTGAGTCAAAAATTTCTTGGCTACTTTGTGTGTGCGCAAGTGCAATTGTAACTAGTTTATTCACCAAATTAATTTCAATAATTGATCAAGTAATAGTAATTTCAAAACTAAGTAGGTAAAAAAAAATTAAAATTGAAATACTGTTTAAAGAATACTGGACAGCATTAATGCTCAAATTTTTTATTTAAAATTTAATTTATTCATTTTTGAGACGAAAAATTATTAACTAAATAGTTAAATTTATTTTTTTTAATATTTGAGGGCCTAATTGATTTTTAAGGTATAGTTTTTTTTTTTTGGTATTTTTTTGTTTTTAGTGATTTTGTAAAATATTTTGTATTTTTGGTATTTAGTAAATTTTTAAAAGATTTTTTTTCACAAATATTATACTTTTTAATTGTATTTATATTAAGTGTATCTAAAAACTAAAAATATTATTTAAAATATTAACAAAAATTCAGTGAAAACAAAAAAATACGGGTAATCAAAAATTCAATTTTCAAAAAATTGAATTCAAAAAATTGGAACCAAACTAGGTGATTAATTAAATATGTAAATTCTTTTTTTAATATTTGGGAGACTAATTGATTTTTTAAGATATAGTTTAGGGGTAAAATGAAATTTCTAATGAAATTTGATGATACGTCAGCAAGTTCGGTTTGATTGTAGACGGAAACAGACGGCGAAGGTAAATTAATCAAATTTTAAAAAGTTTAGAAGTCAAATTAATATAATATGAAGTATGGATACCAAATTGATTTTTGCGCAATAATTTAAGAGATAAAATGATATTTCTTCTAATATTTAATCATATTTACAAAGAAGCTGCGGATATTCTAGCAAATCAAAGAGTGCTTTTTGCTGAAGGATATCATGTGTTTTCTTTTCCCCATCGTCCTTGTATTTCTATTCAACTGGCAGATGATGCTAAAGGGGTTGGCTATCCTAGAATGATATAGACTTTTATTATTTAGGGACAATTAAAATAAATAAATAAAATCAGAGTACGAGCTTTTTAATAAAATAAATTTTTAATTTTATTAATTTAAATCTTGATTTTTTTTAATTTAAATTATTTCTTTATTTTTATTATGCGAAAAAAAAAGAGCATTTTAGTTAGAGGGCTATGCTCCTACCTTTTTCTTTTGGACCCTTACCTCTTTTTTTTTTTTCTTTTTTTCTTTTTTATTACAATTTTGCTCTGACATCAATTTATATTTTTGACCCTATCGCTATCCTTTCAACCCTAACCCTAATCCCAACCTCACCTCCACCTCTATCTCCACTCTACTCCGATTGGTAGCCTCCTAGAGCAACCATCCCAATGCCTTCCCCACCGACGACCAACCTCCCACCATCTCTCACCATTGTGACCCTTTTCACTTCTTTCTTTAATTTGGGCTCTTTCTCTCTTCTTCTTCTTTTTCTTTTTCTTCTAAGTTCATAGATGTTCTGCCATCGCAACCACCACCCCACAGCCTCCTATAAATCCTTTCCTTACCTCTAAAATCCCTTTCCGTTCCCAGAACTGCAATTCTCTCGTCAGCCTTCTTCTCCTGCAAGGACCCACTTTCAGGTCTACTTCGTCACTGATCTAATTCTCAACTCTCCAAATCTGACGTCTTTCATTCACCAATCGTCACTTCCCACCTCCTCCATTTTCGTCTACCTCAAATCTCTCTCTCTCTCTCTCTCTCTCTCTCTCTCTCGTACATAGTGTTGGTTTTGAGGATGGAGAAGTTTGGGTCGCAGTGTTAGAAGGTGCTAGATTGTCAACATTAGGTAGTGGGTTGGGGACATCTGGGTTACGGTGTTAGGAGGTGTTGAATCGCTGACGGTAAGGGGCCTGAAGAATGCGGTGGTGTTGGACTGGTTCAAAGTAGCGTCAATGGTAGCAATCGTGGATGGTGGTACCGACGCAGCAACAAAAGTAGGCTAGCGGTAGTGGTTGCCGGAGTTGATGGGGATGGGATTATGGTTATGATTATGGTTAAGGTTTGGATTTGGGGTTAGGGGTACACTTGGTATTAAGATAGGAGTTCAAGAGAAAATGAAGGAGGTGCCCCTATTTACACACCACATTTTGTTTCAAGACACACCATTAATTGATTATTTTTTTTATTACAATAATATCCTTATCTAAAATGACCAAAATGACCAAATACACACCTTAGTTGAATACACAACATTCATTAGTTAAATTACCACTTTGGACAGCATTCTAACTA